AAGCCGTCTCCAGCCATTATTAGTCTCAAAGTGAGTTCCTCGTCATCGAATTCCTAACACCTTGCTGTATTGTCGCCAAAGCGAATTAGGTTTGCACTGATTGTACACCATGGCAGCGCAACATCGTATTAAAGCTGATTAATGACATACGCTTCCATGTATTTACACGCCGTAATGAAAAATGAGCACACGTTTCTCGCTTATAGAAATGAGTAACATACTAAATAAGTTTATGCATTTAGTCGCTAACACGATTATACATAAATGAACTGAATAGAAAAACAGAAGTAAGCCTGGCGTTGGTCCACTTTCCTCTTTCAGTAATGTCTCGGTAATCATTTTGTGTCTTTAACTGAGTACTCACAATACTGCTATCTCTAATAACGCTTGGAGACGGCTTGAATGGGCAATGAAGAAAACTTTAATATAAGTTTAACATAACAGCAAATGTACAACGTTCCGACAAGGTTCTGTCATCATCAGGTACAAGTAGTTTACACTGACACAAACATATATATATACAGTATGGAACAAAGAGGTCACATGACCGGATACTGTTGCAATACTAAGAAGAGATATCTTGGCACCCCAGGGTGTTGGTTTAGAGTATGGTTGTTTTATTCAATTAAGATGGATTCCTTGATTTTTCGTTTGTTTATGTTTGGTTCTTTGTTTAAAATTACTGTGTTTTTAACAGATATACTATGTTTTTTTTGGGTTGCAATGGTGGAAAACATAGGACGGTTTTTTTATTGTGTTCTGTGAATCTGGTTTCCAATTTTCTTCCTTTTTCTGTGTTTCCAACTTGCTTCCCTGATCCCAGCTTACTGAACCTTTTGTTTTATCCATGCTGGTTTCATGTGTATTTTTTCACATAATCTATTCTCCAAACCTTAAATTAATAATTTTTTTACACCGTTTATTACTGGTGGTGGTCCTCATATTGCTTCAGATAGAGTAGTTTTATATGTTTGCCTGTTAAACACTCAATTTAAAAAATTTGATCAAAACAAAATTGAGTGAAATCACCATAGAAGATAGACTGCGCGTCATGTGACTTCTTTGTACTTAGAGGCCGCCATTGCTACTGTGGCAAAAAGCTCAGCGCAATCAGGTGTCCAATGTAATTTCTGTTCTATAAATTATAACGAAAACACTGGTTCGATGGAAGATTTGATGTTTGAAATTGGTATAAGATTATCATAAAAATTAAATTCTAGGATTTTATTGTTAAAATTATATTTTCGGTTATTGTTTGTTTGTTTGTTTTTGTAGTTTTAAGCACAACTCTGCACAACGAGCTATCTGTGCACTTCCTACCACGAATATCGAAACCCAGTTTCTAGAGTTGTAAATCTGCAGACATACCGCTGGGAGGCATTAGTTATTGAAAAAAAAATGTTCAAGCGTAAAAAACATTTATAAGGTCCCTATGGGACTACGGCTCGGCATGGCCAGGTGGCTAGGGCGCTCGACTCGCAATCTGAGGGTCGCGGGTTTGATTCCCCTCCCCTTTCCGCCATGGGGGCGTTATAATGTCGCAGTCAATCCCACTATTCGTTGGTAAAAGAATAGCCCAGGAGTTGGCGATCGGTGGTGATGACTAGCTGCCTTCCCTCTAGTCTTACACTGCTAAATTAGGGACGGCTAGCGCAGGTAGCCCTCGTGTAGCTTTGTGCGAAATTCGAAAAACAAACAAACCTATTGTACTAGTAGTAGTAGTTTTTTTTTGTCCACATGTTCAGATTATATGAAGTTTATATTAACTGTACGAATGTAGATTTGCCTGTAGATATTGCCGGTAGTTATTATATCTACTATTTAAAGCAAAGTGTGTGCCCGGGAAGAAATACACAGTCTTATATCTGTCTATCGTTTCATATCTGTTCCTTTCCATATTTTCATATTTCAATCAGCACCAAAATTGACACAGTGATACAGGGTGACATGAGGAAGATAATGAAGGGGCGGGGTTGAAACCCCCATCTTCTGTATAAATAAACGTCCATATGTGTATGTATCTATTCCTTGTACGTTTCCACATTTCGTGATCAATCAGCACCAAATTTGACACAATGATACAGGATGACACGAGGAAGGTCGTGAAGGGGGGGAGTTGAACCCCCTCATTTAATTTCATATCTAACTTCGGAAGAACTACCAAATCAGCACATTTGGACACAGGGATACAGGATGACATGAGGGGGGTTGGACCCCCCGTCTAATTTCATATTGATAGAATTCTTGAAGACAGTATGTCTTTCTTTTCAATATTGGTGTCTTTATGTATTTTTATTGCACTTTTAAGGTTTACTGTTTTAAGGAAATAAAAATAGAAGCTCAATTTCCTATCCTTTTTTTATAAACGAATTTTTGGACGGGTACTCCAGCTAGTATCTAAATATACGTAATATGATAAAAAGGTGTAATGAATTGTTGATGTATTTGAAAACTTGACATCTGAACGACAAGTAATTATACCTTGACTTTTAAGAAAAATATTAAAAACTGTAAATTAACAAATTATCGTATTAATATGAATATTGTCAAAGCTCTCCCATCATATAACAGCTCGCCAACAAAAGGTAATACTTAAATTAGCAGAATGTTAGGGTTACTTGTCAGTGGGATAGATATACTTATTACACAGATTTCTAAATACCAATATGATATCATAGAAGACATTGCTTTCCAACTGAAGTACTATATATCTAATGTTTGTACACCTACTGGTTATTATCCACAAATGTTAAAGCTATAAAACAGCCTACTTAACTTGGGCGTAAGGGAACATTTTTATATGCACATTACAGTATTACATTTATTATCACACATTAAGAGTTAAAGCAGACTACTGCAAGTACAATTATACATTTGTAATGACACTGATAAGGGTTTTAAACTAATTAGTAAATAATTATTTTCCGTCGTTCACGGGTTAAAGAAACTTTAAATCTTAACGTGTAGTCTTAGTATTAACTTAGTTTACTGCCTTGAATATAACGGTGTCTCTAATTGTCATATTTAATTATCAAAGAAGGCTTAAACTTAATAAAGTGTTTGTTTGTAATTAAGCACAAAGCTACACAATGGGCTATCTGGGCTCTGCCAGCCACGGGTATCGAAACCCGGATTCTAGCGTTGTAAGTCCGCAGACATACAGCTGTACCACTGTGGGGGGGGGGCTTAAGAAAGTGAATAATAATAATAATAGAAGTTTTACATATGAAAAGTTATATAATGTTTTTGTTTAATGTGTGACACAATGTTAATAGTGGCCATGTAACCAACGATGTCATGTATCCACAGGTAATTTAGTATATAGATAGTTTAGACAATATCCGTATAAAACGTCAGTGGGCTCTAGATTCTAGGGTTAATGTGTTTAGTCAGTTTTGCAAACCAGACATCAACACTTTACAGTTGTAATCTTGAGTGACACTTCCTGTCAAACATTTTAATGTATTTCAAATATTTAAGTCACTAACCTCCATCTTTCTAATGGCAAGCGTTGTGTGTACATGCACACTTGTTTCAACAACTACATCAATTGGAAGCACTCCAAGCAAATTTATTTTGGTGGGGCAGGGAATCGCTACTGCAGGACTGGTTTCTCTTCGAGACAAAACTAAAAACATAAAGATCGGTTTCTCTTCGAAACAAAACACAACATACAATGATTGGTTTCTCTTCAAGACAA